AGTTTTTAAAAATCAGTATGCGATAGAATTTCTCTTACCTACTGGTGAACGCTGTAGAGAGTGTAAGCGATTTGCACAGAAAATTGTTAATAATACTTCAACCCGATTAATTGGAATGAGCCCTAATAGTGCTATGAAGCTTGAACAGGTGTATTCCAAGCCATCAACAAAGTATTATCGTCCAGTAGGTGCTGATGAGTCACAGTTACCAAAGGGAACTATAATTCGATTTTTACTTGCTCCTGGTGAATGTGAAAATAATTACTTTGAACGACAAAGAATAACAGATCCAGTATGGAGTCCAAGCCTTCATAAAATTCAGAAAATTGTTGTTAGAAAAAATCCACCAATGCCTGTATTATATTATTTAGATGAAACAGGTTCTCAACATCCTTTTGTAAGAGAAAAATTAATGCATATTAAGGAAGAGCCTATGTTACCTCCTAGGTGGGTACTGGAAGATAACCGAATGCATTCAAGGCACACTTGATGAAAGTTAGCAAATCAATAACGCAATAAGGGATTGTGATAAGAATTATACCCTCCTTAAAACAGAGTGCTCTCTTTCTCCAATCACGTTGAATTTGTGAATCCAAATTAATTTGCCCTTGTGGATGGAAAAATGGAATGATTTGAAAATGTCGATTACCACTATATTTGAAGGCCAAATGTAATTCCTCATTATACCCATCAAGCTGTAAACCTTTTAAAAATTTGGGTTTTTGAGGTGGAAATTTCTTATATAATAATTCTTCGAATATATATCGACATCTTCGCTCAAATATATAGGGACAACTATTACACCATCCATAATTCTGCTTCATATCTTTATAGGATGCTTCCCATTGATGTTGATTTTTGCATGACTACAAATAAATATCTGCGTTAGATCTAGCTTTAGCCAAGCATTCCCCTTCACGTCTTTTGGCATATGTAAAAGCTTTGGTATCAATCTCGTTATAATCTTGTATTTTTATAATATGATCGAAGTCATATGATTTTTCAGATTTTTTTTTCTAATATATTTAATGTAAGAAAGCAGAATATAAAAACTATATAATAAAAATATCACAAAGTACTATATAACTGCTAGAAAATAACAGCGGAGCTGGTGTTAAAGCACACAAATCTTCATTGATTAAATTGAATTCCCAGATGAGACCTAGTCTCGAGGCTTTGCCTCTTCCTGCTGTGGCAAACACTTTAATGTCACCGCTATCAGCATATATTTTTCTTATTTTGTTGATTATCGCGGTTATGTGGTTCGTGAGACGTACATGGAATATAGATAGGCTCGAAGCGCCATTGCTCTGCAGGCCCGAAGGAGCAACTCTAAAGGGTCATAAAAAAAGTGATCAGCTATGGGATACGTAGGTTAGGTAAACATCTATTTAAACTTTGGTATTTTTTATATACAAAAAAATATAATTAATAATGTATAGCAGAGCTAGTGCCTAAAGACACATAAGTATCTTAGTGGAGTCTAGCAATTCTAACCAAGAATACTTAACAATATAGAATAGTACAGCTAATCAATTCAAGGCTTTAATATATTTTGTAAGCCATTTTTTAGCTTCTTTTTGTAAATATGCGTCAATCTGTTTTTCTTTCTCATCCAAATCTTTGAGTTGCATAATCTTATGTGAAGGAGGCAGTTGATACCTGTCATCTTCATTGATAAAACGTGCACATATTGCAAGCATACTACCTAAATAATAATTGATATCTATTTCCATTTTTTGCTCTTTTGCTATATCCGTATACTCCATATAATTGCCAACTCTATGTGCTATTAACCGGCCTTTCTTATCACGAAGGCGGGGCCCTTCACAACTACATAACTAAACCATTCACCGGGATCAGGAATCCTCTCACTTCTCTCTCTCATACGTCCCATAAAGCAAATGTTGCAAGGATTTTCTTTTTTTGGCTTCCATGTTCCCATTACAATAAATTCATTGAAATTTCATTCCTTATTTTGTGCTTCTCTGAGAGTGTCTTCAACAATTTCATGAATCATACGTGTATTGTCAATATTTATAGCCTTCTGTATAATCTTTTTTCTAATAAATCTAAAGAGTTTTGAATTCCCTTGCTTTACAGTATCATCTCTTGCGTAAAGAGATTATCTAGCCTAAAATCAATATCCTTTTCATGTAGTACACCAAAGTATTTTTTCTTACCAGTAAAGCAAATGGGAAATAATACCTCCTCATATGCCATTTTTAGATAAGATGTGTTATTTTTTATTTTGAGATATTCATTGACTTGAT